AAAAACCCTAGCCTAAACCCTCAAAAGCCTCATATCATATCCTTTGGGGAAGCTGCCATCATCCTGAGAGAACCCCCTTAGACCACTTTAGCACCAGATCCCACCCCTAAACCCTAAGACCCCCAACTCGAATAGAGGGGCCTGACACCCATACGGTTGATGATATAAATCCTGCACTACCCATAATAAGGAATATACTGTAACTCCCAAAGTTTAGGGTCCTTAAGGTAATGCAGTATTTATATCACCAATCGTATTTTGGGGATTCCTTATCATAACTGTGGCATAACTGTTATGCTTCAATTATTAATTTAAGTTAAGACCCTCCACCCTACACATGTTGGGGAACCTGTCGCAGGTTTCCAGGGCTTGGGGGAATGCTCGTAGAACCTGCATCGAACCTCAAAGTTTCCAAGTATCCCCAAACCCTGCAAAAACCCCAACCCCAACTCCAAACCCTCAAAAATTTTTAACCCTAAACCCTACCCTAATGCTCCTGGACCCTCGTAGTGAGATCCTAAACCGTAGCCCCCAAAGCCCAAACCCTCGCCCACAAAGCCCCTAACCTTCTCAGGAGCCTTAGGGTAAGACCGTAAACCCTAATCCCCAAACCCTAAACCCTGTAATCCTTAAACCCGAGAAGCCGTACTTCCCTAAATGGGAGTTTCCGAAACTCAGGGGTACCTTATGTTGCGAGTCCTTATAACAAGGATCCTACTATTTAGGGTACTAGATTAGTGTCCCCTATTTTCGGAAACTCCCAAATAACCTACCTTGTTAGGGCTCCTGTTCATTACAGTATATACGTCCTCGAAAAGAAAATAAATATGTCAAGTAGGAATCCCGGCCCCCAATCCCTGAACTCGAAAAGCCGTGGCCGTAACTCCCTAAACTGCGAAGGCCCAATCCTAACCCTAAACCCCCAAGTACCCTAAATAGTAGGATCCCTTTTATCAGGACCCCCAAAAGAAGGAACCCCCCCCTAATTTGCGGAAACTCCCAACACTGCGAAGGCCCAATGGGCCTGAATAAGGATCCTACTATTTAGGGTACTAGATTAGGGTCCCCTTTTTTCGGAAACTCCCAACACTGCGAAGGCCCAATGGGCCGAGTAGGTATATTTAGGGTATATTCCTTAATCAAGGGGTTTTGGAAGGTCTGGGTCCCTAAACTGCGAAGGCCCAATCCTAACCCTAAACCCCCAAGTACCCTAAATAGTAGGATCCCTTTTATCAGGACCCCCAAAATAAGGAACCCCCCTAATTTTCGGAAACTCCCTACACTGCGAAGGCCCAATGGGCCTGATGTCCTTGCGAACTTTGTCGTCCTCGGGTTCCTCGCCCTCTCGCGACCGAGGAGGCCCCCGGCAAAGCTGGGAGTTCGCGTAGGGTTGGGGCTCAAGGCTTTGGGGGTTTAGGGTTTAGGGGTTTAGGGTTAAGGGGTTTAGTTTAGGGGTTTAGGGTTAAGGGGTTTAGTTTAGGGGTTTAGGGTTAAGGGGTTTGGTTTAGGGGTTTAGGGTTAAGGAGTTTAGTTTAGGGTTTAGGGGTTTAGGCTTTGGGGGTTTAGGGTCTAGGGGGAAGGAGGGGGCTGTTGTGTAGCTCATGGCTGTGGGGGTTTTGGTCCAACGGCTGATGATCTAAATCCTGCATTACCCATAATAAGGAATATACCATAATTCGCATAGTGTAGGGTCCTTAAGGTAATGCAGGATTTATAACATCAACAGTCGCAGTCGGGTAGGTTTTTAACCTTTTTTGGGTAGTATAGTCCCGTAGGGGGCTTTTAATGCACATAACAAGGACCCAATAAGGCCTGTTTAAGGAATTATAGTCTCCTACCCCCTAACGGTCCCTATGAGTTTTGATCAACAAGGTTTTGATCAATAGCCGCAAATGACGATAGGGTTCAAATTACTATAGTCTGAGAGGTTTAGGGTTTAGGGTTCAGGGTTTTGGTTTAGGGTGTAGGGCTTCGGTGTAGGGTTAGGTATGTCTTGGTTTGGGTTAATAGGGCTTCGGGTTTCTGATGTCTAGTATTAACAACACACACACGGGAAAGGGGAGGATAAGCGCTCGGGAGATCAGCGCCTGGGGGTTCAGGGCTTGGCAGGAGCCTTCAGAGGTTCTAGAGGGTTTCATAGCATGTGTGGTTGGTTGGGGTTATCGGGCTCGTTCTACAGGTGTTTCTAAGGGAAAGATTCGGAAAGATGTTCGGTGACTAACCTACACTTGTTGCAAGAGAACCTAAGTTGCTGACGATGTGGAGACAAGTATTTCTTGCAGCTACTGTACTGAACACATGGTCCTGAGTAAATACTATACCAGTCCCCCCTTATAGTTTCTATTGCAACTATAGGATAACATAGCCCAAGGTCCTATTCAAATTACTAAGGTCCTACATTTTCAAGTATACTACCATACGCCCCCGGACGCCCCAAAGCTTGATTCAGTTGTTTTGAAGCTCCTCCCAACAAACGGCTTCCTCTTCTGGGAAAAGGCACAGCCGGAATTCCCAAAAGCCCTCTGCGAGCCCTGGAACTCCACACCCAACTCAGATGAACTTTCATGCAAATCTACGTGGAGTAACCAGGGTATCTTAGAAAGGTTAAACGTGCTTGTGGTTTGGGGTCATTTTTGTTGACATGGTACACTGCTTGCTGAGATAGAAGCCTAAATAAGATTATCCTGAGGGTTCCTTCTTATAATTATAGTGACATTCTAGTACAATATACCCCGAAACCCTGTTCTAATTATAAAGGCCCCCATAGCGCACTAGGTAGTTTCTAAGCCGGAAATCCTCAACCTCCCAAAATCTAAGCAGGCGTGGAACGATGATGACTCTAGCTTGTAATGCCGAAGCATCGTCTAGGCTTCTCAAAGTTGTACTTGGGTTTAGGGCGCTCATTGCTTGAGCACTGTTGACATTTTGTAGCAAAGTGATGTTGGGTCTTTATCATATATGTATATATACACATGAGCCCCGTTGCGCGGTCCTCAAGCACTTCAATCAGCTCCAAAGCCCCAGAGCTTAAAACCCCAAGGCCTACCGTAGCGCACTAAAACAAGCGCAGCGAAGTCAGGTTCGTCTAACGTCCACCACGTGGCGTCCGAGAATATCCTCAGTCCCTCGTTGTGCAGCTCACGGTTTAGGGGTTTACAGTTCAGGGTTTAGGGTTTGTTGTTAATGGTTCAGTCGTTGGTACGGATTAAGGTCAGGGATTCAGGCTTGAGGGTTCAGGGCTGTAGGATTTTGGGGACTGAAGTTTGAGGGATTCGGGGGGTGGTGAAGTTTAATTAAGCTCATATCGGGTTCCGGGGTTAGGATACAGGGTCTCAGCCAAAGCCCGAAGCAACTTCTCAATTACCGAACTCTCCGAGAATCTCACTGGAACACGTTTCGGTTGGTGTGGCTGTTGAAAGCTTTAACCAAATCTGTTTATTCGCTTTACCGGGGAGTTTAAGGGACTTGCACACCCCAAGAGACCCGCCCAGACCTTCCAAAACCCTTAATTAAGGAATATACTTTAAATCATATTAGGACCCTATTATAATTTAAGGTATATTCCTTAATTAAAGGGTTTTGGAAGGTCTGGCCATAATTGCGGACCTTCCTTGCAACATAACGAGAGGAACACCTGTGATGTTGATGATATCTTCTTTCGAATCGCGAACAGAGTATCTCCTGCTTACAGTGATCCTCTCCATGTCGTAACAAGACGAAGCACCGGATTGCTTTTAGAGAGCTTCCTGAAAGCCTGACGGCAGATTCCATTTTTCCATCTTCGCAAAGTCAAATCCCGAATAGGAGTGTGTATATATATGTATATAATTAGATATATATAATGCCTAGACTCTACAGGTTCAGGAGTACCCTAAAACCCAAAACTCTAAACTCCTTAGATTTGGGTCCGTTGGAAGCATACTGGGTGCAGGGCTTGAGGCTTCCTCTTCACCGACCCCCCGACTCCTGTCCAAATTCTAAAAGATCCCCGTGCTATAGGGCTTGTCGGGCTTACAGCATTCCCTAAGGGTCCATGTACCCATATAGAGATACATGAGCCCCAAAGTACCTATATAGGGACTACATTAAGGCCAATGTATATACTATATGAGTACATGGACCCTTAGGGATTTATAGGGGTTTCATAGGGCTTGTAGGGTTTACAGCGTTTGTAGGGTTTGTCGGGGTTATAGGGTTTATGGTGCTTATAGGGTTCAGGGTTAAGGGAGTCCCCCCACGCCATGCGCCACACCGTGATTGTTATTCATGTCCCTTCGGCTATAGGCGGGGCTGAGCGTGAGACATTTGGAGAAGCCGGTGTGCAAAAATGAGCCTATACGACCCCGCAAACCTTCCGATACAAGAACAAAACAAAACATATTGGAACCCCAGTGTAACAGTGTAACCATGAAGGCCCTTGTCAAAATCCAGAGCTTCCGCGTAAGACTCCTTCATCGAACCGCTATGAATACGAGCAGGAGAGCCTGTTCCGCCGAGAAATGAGGCGACTTCTACACCCCCACCTTTCATAACACCCTATACGCTAAACCCTGACCCCTCCCCCCGCCCCCTCGGGTGGGAAAAAACACCCTGTAATTATCACCTTATGAACCCCACCGGAAAGCACCAGTACCATTACCCCTATAGATCCCTTTCAAGGGACCCTTAAAGGAGCCCTAGTTACTAAGTCCCATGATCCTTTAAGTAGACCCTAAACCGTAAACCCTACCGGAAAGCACCGGAGCTCCCACGAACCTCCGCTTGTTCCCTAAAGCCCCAAAACATATCGAAGCCCTGAACCTCCCTATAGTCTCCATTGTAGTTCCTTTTTGGGGTTACCTTTTAGGATCCTTAATATAAAATTAGTTAAACCAAAAAAGGAACTACAATGTAGACTATAGGTCTGAACTTTTCGCCATCCACACGGAGATCTCTGAGCATTTCAGAACAGCACTACAAAACCCCATGAACTTTCATGTGCAGCCCTTAATCCTTACGCAATGGCTGTAAGCGGGGGTATGTGCCGGTGGCCCTTTCGTTATATAGAGTCTCTACGTGACAATGACAAAGTCTACAACCGCTTCACACTCTTTCTTTGGGTGTGTGTCGCGGATGGTTTTAGGATTCACACGTGGGACGACAAGGTCCCACCACCGCCCTCGCCCGCCCCAGCCTTGCCAGGTAAGCGTTCGAACAGCATTTGCCCTCCCGTCTTGACTATTCCTGTGCCTCGACGTCAGAAAGGTTTGCTGGTTTGTGTATCTGAGGTGAATATAGGTAACCTTGCTGTGATTATCTGACTTCTGTCGTGAGAACTAACTAAGCCCTCATCCTCCAAGTACTATGGGGCTTTGGTTTGTGGCATTGGAAGTGTTGTGTGAGGGCTCTGTTCGTTTCTTGAGTTCTTTTCAAAATGTTGACTTAGCGAGCTTGAGGTTTGTGGCTATTCGGAGTTGAGGGTTTGGTTTAGTCATTATGCTGTTAAGCCGGCCTTGTTGATCAAAAACAGCGCATGTGGTAGTTGTGCGTACTAGTCATGGCAGTATGGTCAGAAAAGAGCCTTGACACACTAAATGTGCAACAAGGCAAGTATACTACCAACAGTCATAGCAATGAAAGCTACGAGCAAAAGCGCAAAACCACAGCAACGACCACATCACAGTGCCAGTACGATGTTATCAGCAGCATTGATCATGACAAGAACAACAGGTGAATGAAAGGTCCCAGTGAACGAGCCTAATTAAACCCATGCAAGCCCGAAGCCTAAACCCTACACACCCTTAGCCCTAAACCCCGAAAACCCACAAACCCCTAAACCCAAAGCCCTACACCCATAAAACTCGAGACTCATAAATTCCTAAAGCCTAAACCCCCAAATCCCAGAAACATTGCACTTAAAAACAAAATCCCAGAAACCTCTAAGCCCATAAACCCCTAAACCTCTTGACCCTAAGCCCCAAATCCAAGAAACTCCTGGACCCAAAACCAAAAAAATAGGCTGCTAACTTACGGGCCTGAACAATTACCTATACTATTTTGGGGGTTCCTTATTATGATGAGAGTATTTCTTAAGGCCTCTACATTAAGCCCCCGCATAATATCCCTTATAGTAACCCTTACAGGACCCTTTTCAAGAACCCTTTAACAGAACCCGTTAATCAAACTAATAAGGCCTCTGTCTTAACCGTCAGGTCGACCTGGGCAAAGCCTTTCCCAAGCGGAGCAATTCGGTGGCCGCCTCGGCTATGGGCACTTTTGATCATGGCAGTGGAGCTTTGGCCGTTTACAAGATCATTTGGTTTGCACGGTTGTCTTGTGCGTCGCTGATTTGTTGTTTGTTGGGGTTCTCTCGCGGTTCTAAAGAGGTAGGTGGTTATATAATCTAAGTGTTAAGGGTATCGGTTCAGGCTCAAGGGTGTAAGCGTCGGGGCTTGAAACACGTTGTGTGGCATTTGCTTGTGTCATCGTTTTGTAAAGGATCTGTACCCAAGGGGTACTATATGTACTGTTCCTCATATAGCAACCCTACATTCTGCTATATACCTATAGTCTCCATTGTAGCTCCTTTTGGGGGTTACCTCTTAGGATCCTTAATATAAGTTTGGTTAAACCCAAAAAAAGGAACCACGATGATCGTGCCACGATGGAGACTTTAGGTAGGACCCTTTGGGGTATTACGGGTTTCGAGAAGGCTTTAGGGGCTCGGGTGGTTTATAGGGGTTACCTATAGTCTCCATTGCAGTTCCTTTTTTGGGTTACCTTATAGGATCCTTAGTATTTTCATTGGTTAAACCAAAAAGGAACTACAATGGAGACTATACTTGGAAGGGCAGGGGACGTAGTAAGTAGGTTATAAGTAGAGTTATAAGTACCCTTAGTGGAGTTGCCCCAATTATAACCCTACTTATAACCTACTTACTAAGTCCCCGGGGCCTTCCAAGTAGGTGTACCCAGAAAGCTGCGTCCGAAACCATCCCAATGAAACCGGAGCCCCTCTCAACCTGAGAAGCTGATACAAAGCGCTCAGCCTAGTAGTCGCGTAGGCAACCTTTTACCTTTTTTGGGTAGTATAGTCCCTGTTTAATCCCTACATAACCAAAAAGGTTATCCTTTAGTTCCCCATGATACCCGACAAATAGGTCAGAGAGCCCTTCCTAATTTGTAACCTTGCGAGAAAGCCCGAAGACACCAGAGAGCTTGTTAAGAATCAGAAGCCGCACGTGTTTTAAGGCATATTCCTGATTAGCGGGTATCGCTGAATACATTCTACGCCGGAACTTCCCTAAGCAACAGCAAAACAGCCCCAAAGCCTCAAATATAGTAGTTATATTTGTTTGCCCCATTCCTCCCTCCCAACCAAAGGTAAGTAAGTGGACCATGCTAGGTTGCTGCCCTCTTTGACCTCGATACCAGCGAAGGCGGGATGTTCTTGCCTGTCTTGCTTGGAGGCCCGGGGGACTTGGTAAGTAGGTTATAAGTAGGGTTATAACTGGAGTAACTCCATTTAGGGTACTTATAAGCCTACTTAAAACCTACTTACTAAGTCCCCTGGGCCTCTAAGTGGGTCCGTCTAACAGAGCCAGGAGACAAGTGATACCACTGGCTCTAAACCCTAAAAATTAGGCCCGAACTGCCTAACAATACAGTAGGTTATGTTTCTTGGGGGAGTGCATGATTACTACCTTCAGGTATCCCGCGCAGGAGTCTCCATTGTAGTTAGTTCCTTTTTTGGTTTAACCAACTTTATATTAAGGATCCTAAAAGGTAACCCCGAAAAAGAACTACAATGGAGACTATAGGTAGCCAACCTTATAGCAACCCTTAAACCCTTGGAGGAAGCGCTTGTTTAACGACCTGATGTTTTTGCATCGCCAGGCGTGGGCGGCAAGGAATCGCTGGAGCGAACGGCCACTGTCCAGGCAAGGTCCAGTTTTGCGAATCATACCTATAGTCTCCATTGTAGTTCCTTTTTTTGGTTATCCAATTTTATGGTTAGGACCCTATAATAGAGATTTTGGTTAACCAAAAAAAGGAACTACAATGGAGACTATAGGTACTGGGGCTGAAGCAAAGGATTTTTCTCCAGCTCTCAGGGTGTGTGGAAGTGTTAGGTTTAGGTCTGGGAAGAGGTGTGGATTTTTAAAGGTTTTGCTTGTGAAGCTTCTCTTTTAGGGATTCAGTCTGTGTTGTATATAGACATATATATTTATATGGGAGTTTATAAGGACCCCCAAAGAAGGTACCCCTAGTTTTTGGAATCTCCCATATATAAGTGTTGGCGCTTTTCGGGTCTAAGGTCAGTTTTTAAGACCCCAGGGTTGCAATGCAAGGGTGCTATAGGATTCTTACTTCAGGTATTCATAGGGTTCTACTTTTTTATCTTATGGGGCGTGAAGTTTTGTCACAAGGTCCGCTATGCTATGTTTTGAGATTTTGTCTCGTTTGTTGTTAGGGTCGTGTAGGTTTGTGGCGAAGTGTTCGGCACTGCACCTTCACAACCCTAGATCTTTGTGCAAGCTCTTTTAGAAAGCTATGGAGACCATTTAAAGGAGCGCACCCTGAACCCCTTACCCATCAAAACACCGCGAGCTTAAATCCGTAAAGCACTGTTCTATAAACCCTTGAACAACCCGGAAAGACCCGTACTTAGAGGCTCAGGGGACTTAGTAAGTAGGTTATAAGCAGGGCTATAATTGCGGTAACTCCATTCAGGATACTTATAACCTACTTACAAAGTCCCCTGGGCCTCTAAGTAGGCTACTCTAGATCCCTTTTTAGTAATCCTAGTAGACCCTAAACCCTAAACCCCAAAGATCCCTTTAAGGAGCCCTTTAAGACCTGTAGAACCCTAAACCCCAACTCCCGACCCCAAATCCCGATAACACCCTCAGCCCTAAAACCTTGTACGACCCGGCCAAATCCCAATACAGCCTGCTCGAAGCCTATATAGACCTCATGAAGCTTCACAAAAACCACAAAAAACTCACTAAAACCATATCACAAACTGCCTAAAACCTTATGACCTAAACCCTAAACCCTAAAGCCCTAAAGCCTTATGAAACCCTGAAGAATTGAAGTCCTAAGACGGCCCCAGGTTGGCGGCACCGTCTCCGGCATTTGGGGCAACTTGCAGCTCCAGGAGTTCGGAAGTGGGGGGCTGGGTAGGGGGGGTTAGGGGCTGGGGTTAAGGGTATATAGGGTTCAGGGCTTAGAGTTTAGGGTTTAGAGATGTTTAGAGCTTGGGGTTTAGAGTTTAGGGTTTGGGGTTTAGAGTCTAGGGTTTAGGGCCTAGGGTTTAGGGGTTTGGGGTTCTTGGGTTTCATAAGAGGTTCATGGGGTGTCCTCGGGCTCAGAGTTTGGCAGGAGCAAGGGCTTCGCAGGTGTTGGACTTATTCGTTTTTTATTTCCACGGGGTTTCAGGAGTTCGGGTTTGGGGCCAGAGAGTGGGATTGTGGTCTACAGGGTTTCTCTAGGGTGTTTACGAGCTATAGCGAGCTCGTGGTTTTTGCGATGCGCGTGGAGGAGAAGTGCGGAATCGGCCTGCCAGATACCCAGACCCCAGGGAGGATCCCAAAAGTAGATCCCTTAATGCGGGTTCCTATAAAGTACCCTTAGTAGTATAGTGCCCCGAATTAGGGGATCTACTTTCTAGATCCTCGCGGGGGTCTGGGTATAGGAGGACTTGCCACACCGCATGACTTTCAAGCGAGCTACCAAAGACGCAAGCGCAGCGCAACGGCCGCTTTCCGCACAAGGCTGTTCAATCCCTCGTTTTGGGGAGGCAACTGATCCGCTACGCAAACCATGTTGCTGCTGCCCTTGTATGTGTATTTGGTTTTGCAGGTCCTGCAAAGAAGAGCAGACATAACCCAGGAACTGAAAAGCCTTGTGTCGGCCTGATAGACCCTTTTGAAACCCAATTTGGCTCTAAACCCCAGTTTCTTTTGGGCGTTTACGGTTGTTTCGGGCTTGACAAGATCACAGAGATCCCGACACCCCTTAGGTGAAGTTCAAGAGTATAACTACCCTGAAACCTTAAACCCTAAGCTTAAACCCCTTCTAAGTGGCAGTGGGGGCTCTCCGGTGGTTTTATGCTGTGTTGAACTTTTTCAGACGTATAGAGTTTCCTCGGGCTTGTGGGTGGCTCTTTTACGGTTTTGATCCGATTTAGGGATCCGGTGGGGTCTATTCTTCTTTAGACGGCTCCTACCTGGACCCCAAGAATAATAACAGCCTTTTGTGGGCATTGGGCCATTATTTCAGCTACCTTGAGGCGTCTAGGTAGGCCTTTTAAGGGTTCAGACCCCGGGGATGCGAAGACCCAGTTGTGTCTTGGTTGAAGCCCTAAACCCTAAACCTTAAACCCTAAACCCCTAAACCCTACACCCTAAACCCTTAACCCTTAAACCCTAAACCCCTTGAGGCAAGGATCCATGCAGCCAATGCAGCCGTCTTAAGACGATACCTGCAACAAAAATGTCTTCAGCCCCAACTCCGAAATCCTTGCATTGAGCCCTTATAACTCATTAGTATGTTCTTCTTTGAACTCTTATGTCTAGCAGCCCGTATCGTAATCTAGAAACCTGCATAGCAACTCAGCAGACAGTAGCGGCCTTATAATATCCCTTATAGGACCCTTTTTACGGACCCTTTGTTAAAGGATCCCTGTTCTAGTTTTATTAAGGCCCCCTCTATTAAAGAACACAGCAGCTGCAGGAGAAAACGGTCTCATTACGTCCGGAGAGTCGCCGCGATGCACATCGCGCATCTGTTCCGGAGGCCAGGTTGTTAGGGTATCTTTGAAGAGCTCTTAGGGGTAGGGGGCAGGGAGTAGGGATCAGGGTTTCGGGGCCGGGGGATGAATGTTTAGGCTTTAGGGACGAGGCTTTTATAGGGTTCAAGCAAGGATGAGGGTCTAGGGTCTTGACTGCTTGAAACCTCGTGACATCTGGGAACTGCTCTAGATCCAGGTTTCTCTTGAACGGGTGTGTGCCCTAGTGTAGTTATGAGAGGGTGCTGCTCAGAGTTATATTCACGAGCTGTATGACATGGATACTGATATTGGGTGCTACGGTTGATGATATAAATCCTGCATTTCCCATAATCAGGAATATGCCATAATTCCCATACTTTAGGGTCCTTAAGGTAATGCAGGGTTTATACCATCAACCGTAGTGTACGTGAGCTCGCCTTCCTGCGAGGTGTCACCTCCACGCAGGCTGACGCACACGGACACGCTGGGAAACTTCAGCGCGCCTAGACTTGCGTTATGTTGCACTCCTCATCCAAAAGCATGCCCTTAGGATCAAGTCATGTTCCTGCAAGAGCACTTCACTTACAGCCTTGAACCTCGACCAGTCATGTGTGGGTTTCCAAAAATAGGGGACCCTAATATAGTACCCTAAATTGTAGGATCCTTATCATAAGGAACCCAGAATAAGGTAATTCCAATTTTTGGAAACCCCCATGCCACCTTTGTCTGCTAAACGGATTTCCCTTTCAAGGATGTCAGCAACAGTCTGCGCGCCAAGCTTGTCGACGATGTGCACGAGGTGTCGGGGAAGCCAGTGGAGCTTGAACCCAGGCGCCTGTGATAGCCAAAAGCACCTCGTAGTACATCGTGCTTAGTATAGGGTGACAGGACATGCGATGCAGGCGACAGTGAACCCGATGCATAAGCAGCCAACACCTTGTAATCGCAGCTATTAGCCCTAAACCCTAAACCCTAAACCCAAAACCCTAAACCCTAAACCCTAAACCCGGCTATAAGTGCCTGACAGCCCACATTGTTCAGTTCAAAGTCACACGCAGCTTTTCACAGCAAGTGGAGTCTCATCATTCGACGAAGTCACAGAACAGTCTGTCGAACAGGTACGGTTGCGCTGTTGAGGGTCATAATATGCAGTAGGAATGGTGCCACAGGCAGTACCAGTACGACTGCCAATACCACTACCACTATAACTGGCCAGTAACTGCCACTTCCACTACCACCATCATTCTGTTGATGATATAAATCCTGCATTATCTTAAGGACCCTAAACTATGGGAAGTATGGTATATTCCTTATTATGGGTAATGCAGGATTTATATCATCAACCGTTGTTCTTCTTCATCCTCCTCCTGACGACGACAGCTGCTACTGCAACCACTACCGATACCACTACCACAACGAAACTGCTACCCAATGCAGTTCTCGTCATCGGTTGCCTTGTCGATTATAGCTTCCCAGCCATGACGCTCTATAACCAAAAAGAGGAACTAGAACAGAGTCTACTCCCTGAGGCTCCAGTTCCCTAAATGGTAGGCTACAGACCTTATCATAGGAAACCCGGTACATACCACTATGGGCTATTAGACCCTAAAGATCCCTATTAGGACCCTATTAAGGGTAGATTAAGGTACCCATAAGGTCTAATAGCCCATAGTGGTAAGTCCATATTTTGGGGAACTGGAGCCCCGAGAGTTGAGGGTTTAGGGCTATTTTTTAGGTAACTGGAGCCTATAGTCTCCATTCTAGTTCCTTTTGTTGGTTTAACCTTTTTTTAATATAGGATCCTAAAAGGTAACCCCCAAAAGGAACTACAATGGGGACTATAGGTATGGTTTAGGGTTTAGGATTACTTTCTAGGTAACTAGAGCTCTCGGATGTTGGTCCAGCCTCCATTTGCTCGACAGCCATCGTCCGCGCTTTGCGTCTCAAGTTTTTCAGCACTGACTGACGAGCTCCGGCCTCCCACCTGACAACAAAGGATTCTGCTTCTAATTTTTCGTATTAGAATAGGTCACTACTTATACTCCTAATATCATTTAGGGTCTAGGATCTTAGAGTCCGAAATTGCTTACAGCCGAAGACGAGCGGAGGCCGCAGCTCAATTGCCCTTGTACAATACTTCCTCGCTAGCAGGGTGTTCTTGCCCATGGCCAGCTGCGGCACGGCTGCATTGCTTTACCTTTGGTTAGTAGCGAATGGAAGAATGGGGGTACAATTATAACTACCGCTACTACCATTCTTCCATTCCCTACCAAAGGTAAGTGCTTCAGGAAGGGAACGTACGAGGTTTGCTCCTAGAAACTTTCGCAGGGTTCTTTAAATGCTCACAAGAAGTCCTCATCTAGGCGGAGTAGTTATTGGGCTTTGGGGGTTTCAGAATCCACTGGCGCTGGAATTTTCTAGACAACGTACACGACTTTTGAGTTTACTAACACGATGCGTACATCGTTGCATGTTTCTTGAATCATTTGCCGGCAGTTTGCCAAAAGGGGAGAATCTCCTTCGCATCGAATATGCTACTGAGAGACCTGTGGGTCCGATTCACCTGTCTGTCTTGATGATCTTATTTGGGGTCCTTGGTCTTCGACACTCCCATCACAATACCCGTTCTGACTTCCCAGAAATCGTTCGAGCTGCTTCGAACAAGGCTTCACCAAACTCTGCGATTTTGCCGTGCACTATCCGTCAAAGGTCTTCGTACCCATATCGTATACGCACTAAAGTACCTGCATAAGATTGTCGAAGTGTGAACTATATGACTATATAGTCGTTATAGTCCTTTAGGTACATGGTTCCGGGTGTTCAACTCACAGATGGTCAGGTGCGCCCGCGCCGCACGAAGAAGCAGCCGCACGGCGGCAGCCGAGAGGACAGTTGATGAGGGCAGAGGCTGTTGTTTATTATCAGTTGTTGGCCCTAGACCCTAAACCCTGAAGAACGTCTGTACATGAGGCATGGTATTGCAAGTGGGGCCTCGGTCTGTGCTAACCAACGACGGGCGAAGTTGCAGCAGCTCATGTAGGGCGTTGGAGAATTGGCAACAATATCCTTCTGCAGCCCCAATATTGCCCTTATATATACCACAACAGCCAAACCCTAATTGCACCGCAAACCCTCTTAGCCCTAATAAGGTACTTTTTTCAAGAGCCCATAGCACAGCCGCGCGGAGGCTCCCCTTGCGGCATCTAAAGTTTATGTAAGGTTTGCGGTTCAGCGCATCTCCGAAATGGCCCATCCTGTAAACGCGGCCTCCCTGCTAGGGTTTTAGGGTGCTGAAGGTTCTGACATTTCGGGATCCCAGCCTCCAAAAAAAACCTTGTGATTCGGGCGTCTCCTTACAGTAAACCCCATAAGGTTGGAAACCGGATTAAGGCCAAATTGTGCTGGGCTTCCCTATACATTATTCTTAAGGATTGAGGCTATTGGGTTTCCAACTTTTGGGCTTCCACTGTTCTGTGTATCATGAGGACTAGGTTGGCTTCGCAGCTAGATGGGTTATGGGCTTCGTACGGGAGTTATCGAGGATACGAAGTATCTGATTTTGGGTTCCGTATAGTAGGGATCCTACTATTTCGTGTACAATATTTGGGTCCCCTGTTTTCGGAGACTCCCAAATCGAAAGCTCCATTAAGGAAGAGATACTAGCTCCTGGGCAGAGAAAGATGCAACCAAAGCGAAAGCTCTTAGGTGCTTCACCGTTTCCTGGATGAGCCGGAACCTTTCCCGCCTGCGGGGCCGACCCAAAGTCACCCAGCCTTTTACTTTGCCTGGTATTTTGTCCTTTAGGATGTTGTTTTTTGTGTTTTGGTTGTTGACATTATATATATATATATATATACACATATTTAAACAATATGTATATATATATATAAACATAATGTTCATAGACTAATCAATGGAAGGAGGGAGACAGAGGGAGAGAGCTAGCGTCACAGTTTCGAATCGCTTTCTACACAGAGGCAATTTGTGGCTTGTGTGTGAGCCGTCTTCGAGGTCGTTAGCAAACTTTACCCCGAAAGCCATGCAATCGGCCACGCTCGGAGCTGTAAAGTCCTGGAAAACCTGCGAGGGCCCGGTGCGCAACACCTAAAGCATCGCCAATGCCCTCCTTGTTGGTTCCGTCGCCTGTATCAGCTCTAAACAGTTACCTTAACCCCTGAACAACCTCCCTTTTTCGGGTTCCTCATTATGTCCTCTTGATATCAGTCCTTAAAGGGGTAGGTTATTCCGGGTTAAGGCAGGTCTTCGGTGAAAAGGCTCCAGGTAAAAAAAACGCAGGGGCCTTCAACAATTAGAATGGGGCTTCTGGGGGCCCATTATACTATCGTTGTAATGAGGAACCCCCCCCAACAAAAATAGTATTGGTAATTAGTTAGGCCCCTGTAGTACATCCCGAAACCCCCGAATCCCCCACAAACAAGCAATCAAGCAACATCCTCAGCCACAAAACAACCCTTCAACAGCCCCGTTATCGTTGGTTCCCTTTCTAGTAGCCCGGCTAGAGCTCCGTTTGTAAATTTTAATGGAGGCCTGAGACTTCACTAAACTAAACCCTATAAACCCTAAACTTTCCTAAACCCCAAACCCTACGCAGAGTCTCCATTGTAGTTCCTTTTTGGGGTCACCTTTCAGACTCCTGAATTTAAAATTGGTTAAACCACAAAAAGGAATCACAATGGAGACTATAGGTAAACCGTAAGCCTTGTAAACCGCAAAATGGGGGAAAGGATCCGTATAGTAGCCCCTGTACAATCCCCAATAAAAGTCTCCACAATCCATTCCCGCTTTCCCTACTAAGAACCAGACAGGGACTATAGATACCCTAAGACCTTTTGTGGAACCCCTACAGTAACCCTTAAAGGAACCCTGCAAGGGGGACCCTTACAGGAACCCCATTCCCTACTAAGAGCCAGACAGTTTTACAGGATTGGCCTGGGACCTGAACTTAAACCCTAAACCCCGAGCCCTGAACCCTAAACTAAACCGTAAATCCCAAATTCAAGCCCTATAAACCCCAAGCCCTTAACCCCAAACCCTAAAACCCTAAACCCCAAAACCGTCAAACCCTAAAACCCAAACTCCAAACCCTTCCCTTTTGAAGGAATCTCAAGCCCTATAAACCCTAAACGCCAAACCCCAAAACCCTAAACCCTGAACCTCCCTTTTTAAGGAATTAAACCTGAAACCCTAAACCCTAAACCCCAAACCATTCCCTTTTGAAGGAATTAAACCTGAAACCCTAAACCCTAAACCTAAAGCCGAAACCCTAAACCTTAAACCCTAAACCCTAAACCCTAAACCCCAAACCCTTCTTTTGAAGGAATGGCCTGTGACGTCCAAACCTACCGAGGCGAGGCCCCAGAAGCGATGGAAACTTTCCGGAGGCTCCTGGACGACGTCCAACACTACCGAGGCAGGGGCTTCTAAAGGGATCCTTTAAAGGACTACTAAAAAGGGAGCTCCTTAAAGGGATCCTTTAAAGGATTACAAAAAGGGATCTATATAGTAGGGTTCTACATATTTCTGATATCTAGAGTAGGGCTTCTAGGGATCCTTTAAAGGAAGGGTTCTTAAAGGGCTCCTTAAAGGGATCTTTGGGGTTTAGGGTTTAGGGTCTACTAGGATTACTAAAAAGGGATCTAGAGTAGCCTACTTAGAGGCCCAGGGGACTTAGTAAGTAGGTTATAAGTAGGGTTATAAGTACCATAAATGGAGATACCCAATTATAACCCTACTTAAGACCTACTTACTAAGCCCCTGGGCCTCCGAGTAGGGATCCTT